CAGATACTGTAAGCACTGGATAAGTGAGTCAACAGCCTCCTGTGAGCCTTACACATTCTCTTTCTCTCTCTCTCTCTCTCTCTCTCTCTCTCTCTCTCTCTCTCTCTCTCTCTCTCTCTCTCTCTCTCTCCCCCCCCCAGCTCCCTCCCTTAAAGTGAACCTGCTTTTTAACAATTAACATCTTTTCCACAAATCTGCAGGACCCTCAAACATTTTTATCAGCAACACCAAATTCCCCTCCCCAAACCAGGGTTTGAAATTTCAGGTCAAGAGTGTGATTGTGACAGTCTTTGACTGTGCCACAAGGTTAAGGAGGAGTGAGCCGGCTCTGACTGCCTGGGGTTCTACTAAAAAAGGGGAGGGGCGAGTCATGCTGATGTGAGTTAAACTATGAAAAATCTCATTACAAGAACAATGTATCAAAGGGGGAAAAAAAACGTATTTGGAAGTGGAGTTTGTCCTACAATGTAACATGTTTGTAGTGATGCTTTTTTTAAAATTCATCATAAGATTGAGCAGTAAGTCAAGATAAAGGAAAACCCAAGCACAACAGCATAGTTCAAAACTGACTACCAGCTCTCTGGGGGCAGAGGCAGGGAGATCTCTGTGAGTTGGGAGCCAGCCAGAGGTATAAAAAGTAACTCTGTCCCAAAAAAGAAATTGAGGGGGAGGGAGGGGAGGGAAAAGAAAAGAGATGGGAGGAGAGGGGAGGGCAGGGCAGGGGAGGGGGAGGGGAGTGGGAAAGGGGAGGGGAGGGACGGGGAGAGGAGAGGGGAGAGGAGAGGAGGGAGAGGGGAGAGGGAGAGGAGAGGGAGGGGAGGGGGAAAGGAGAGGGGAGGGGAGAGCAGAGGGGAGAGGAGAGGAGGGTGCAGGGGTAGGGGGGGAAGGGGTAGAGGTGTGATGCCTAAACAAATGACATGAATTTCTCAGGCTAGCTTCCTTGGTCCTTTTTTTAATAATATTAGTCTTGGGAGTTGGCGTACAAAGTAACAAGTTTCATCTTGGCATCTTCATGAGTCCTTACTTACAATGTGTTCTCATCCATTCTCCTCCTCCTGACTCACTCTTAAAAGATGTGCCACCAGACAGGAAATCGGGAGAGAACAGGGAAACAGGAGGCGAGTCCGGGAGGAGTTAGAGGGTGAGATGGGGGCGGGTATATTCAAAACGCACTGAATGAAATTCTCAAAAATTAAAAGGACTCCAGTGTCCCACATATGCTCACCTAGGGGAAATGATCAGACTGCAGTCTATCCCATTTTCCACCACAAAATGAAAACAGTCTCACATGCAAACACAACAGTACAATCTGACCTTCGGTGAGGCCGCCCTGACCCTGGGAAGACTACTCTGTAGGGAGAAACTGTGGCAGAGACAGCAAGAGGCAGGGACTCAACGCGCTATGGGACATTCACCGACTGAGTTCGAGGCCAGCCTGGTCTACACAGTGAGTTTCAGGGCAGCCAGAAGCTACATAGTGAGATACTGTCTTAAAAAAAAAAAAAAAGGGATACAAAACCAAATTTGGTAAGGTAAAATATAAAACTAGTTTTCAAAGACCAGAAACTAATTTTGTACATATCAACAATGAACATTTTCTTTTTTTACTTAGGAGTTTGGAAACCAAACCATCTTTAAATCTGTAAGACTACATTTCCTTAAATAACACAAATATATCAGTTTTAATCTGTTATTTCTAAAATACAAAATTAGCCTAGATGAGTCGGGTGATGGTGGCACACGCCTTTAATCCCAGCACTCAGGAGGCAGAGGCAGGCAGATCTCTATGAGTTTGAGGCCAGCCTGGTAGATCTACAGAGTGAGTTCCAGGACAGGATCCAAAGCTACAGGATCCAAAGCTACAGAGAGAAACCCTGTCTCGAAAAACCAAAAAAAAAAAAAAAAAATTAGACTAGATGCTCACCAACATTTAAATGAATAAAGAAAATGGTTGCACATATGCACGGTGGAATTCCATTCAGCCATCAAGAACAAAAGTATCTCAGGAGGAAAACAGGTAGCACTGGAAACTATCATGTTAACTGAAGTAAATCAGATCCTGAAAGATGAATGTTTTCTCTCCTATGTGAAATCTAGATTAATATATATGTATCCCATATATGTGACATGAAAGTTGAAAGGGACTATGATAGGGAGACCATGAGAAAATAATGAGTCAGGAGATAAAATGTACAATGATAAACATGCATGAAACCATCATAATGAAACCCATTATTTTAGATACTAATTTTTAAAATTATGTTTAGAAATCTGCTGACATCTAAAAATGAGGTCGATGTGGACCTAAGTTCCTACTATTATATCTACTTCATTTTCTAGTTATTCACCATGAGTAAGCTTTCAAACTCAGCTTCTTCAGGATAGCAGAGTTTCTAAAAGAAATCGTTTCTAGTTTACATATTGAATTTAGTACATTACATAAGAAAAGACACTGAGGTTTCAAACATGTCTGATTTCCTTATATCTGTTGACCCTAGGTTTGGCTTTTTTGTTTGTTTGTTTTTAATTATTTGAATCCACTATTTTAAAATTAGTCTGTATTTCCTCATGGGTACAATGTTACCAGCAACCGTTAAAAATCCTACAGAAACCAGCTTAGCTTCCAACATAACTCATGTGTGGATGTTTCGGTTCATGTTTTAAACATCCTGTATTCCAAAAACTCAGCTGATTTGGGAAGATCATTCAGTTCAGGAAATTCGAGTTGACTCACCGCACTCACTCCCTTGCCAACACCTCAAAACTTGGCTGGAGCCCTCCAGCCTCTCCCTCCCGGAGTCTGCCCTCCATTATGTTGTCAATGTTTGAACCGAAAAGCTGATTGTCGTACTACTTAAAAATCTTCATTTCCCGAACCGATCTAGAGGGTAAATGGGACTCCTTAGCTTGCCACAGAAGGTCTCACCTACGCTTTCCCTTCCCTGTCTCACTCACTTTCACACAAGCTACCTAACCACACATTACACACATTAACACTTCCACTGTCTCCTAACAAGCTATTCTCTTTCTCACCCACTTACTCTTGAGGAAAGAAAAAAACAAAAAACAAAAACCTTCCTATGTTTATAATGGATCCCTCCCCCGCTAACTTGAAATTTTCTCACCAGTTCAAAACAGAACTTTCTCAAAAAAAAAAAAAAAAAAAAAACCCTCAACATCTCTCACATATCTTAGTACACATGGCCACCCTTTGGTCCTCCAAAAGCGTCAGGGATGGTATTTACCCAGTGTCTGATAAATGTTGATAGATTTTGAAGGTGGATACTCATGCCTAAGTGAGCAGCCACAATTGAAGAGCATAAGGATATTTCCATTCATTTTTACGCACATGTGGAATCACAAACACACACATGAGCTGAAAATAGAGTCTGGTTTACATAGACAAACACACTAAGTTAGAGATTACTAAAACTTTACATCCTTTCCTGTCGATCGTGTTAACCACCTAGGACAGCAGGAGAGGTAGTCCTCATCAGAACCCCTCTGGCAGCAGCACCCTGCTCGAAATTTTTCAGTATTCTGAACGCCGACATCTCCACACCGCAGAAAGCTAACTTAATTTAAAAGAAAGCCAAAGGGAAGGAACAATGTAACCAGTTTCGCGAAGGTCAGCGGTCCTGCATTCAAATCTTCACTCATCACCTTTGCAGGCAAGAATGTATTAGTAAAGCCTTCCATTGTCCATCGTATTCCCGGCGCTAGTAGAAATAACTCAGTCATGCAAACAATATTTAATACAAAAGACAAAATAAATAACTTATTTCCAGAAAGAAACCAGTGTGTTGATGGTGTGTTTCCACCCCATTTCATCATCTCCAATATAAATATCTTGCATATTTACGGGAAGTTTCACAATTCAAATGTATTGGTCGACATGACTGCTCTTTCCGATAATCCCCTGGGTTAAACAGAGCAGAGATTCTTTGTCCGGATTTAGAAAGACTGAACAACAGGCTCTAGAAATGTAGCCTTTCGTTTATTCTTTTTTTTTCTAAGTATTCTTACTACAACAAAAACGGCCCAAGGAATACCCGCCTTCTCCTCCACCAGAATCTCAACTGGTGAGTCCGCTAAGACAACGAACGTCAAATCTCAAATTCTGATAGACTGAAGCAAAAGTTCCAGCTCCCAGTCCAGGGCCAGTGACAACCACTCCACCCGCCAAGTGCTAGCTGCAGCCCGGGAGCGGCGAGCGCACGGCCACGGTGCAGCCTGCTGGCCGCCGGGCTCCGGGGCAGCGCGGCTAGGAGCGTCTGGGAGCCTGGAGTCCACCTCGCAGCTCGCACCACCGGACACTCGGGGAGCAGCCAGCCCGGGACGCGGCGCTCCCCGAACACCGTTCCCCCGACACCCACCTGGCCGCCCGGCGTCGAGGACCGGGCCCAGCAGGCCACACGCCAGCAGCCACCTTAGTCGCAGAGAGGCAGGGGGCGAGAGCGCGCGCGGCCCCATAGCGAGGGCTTCTGCAGGTTCCGCTCAACGCGCGGCCGCCGCCTCCGCCCCTTCGGTCATCCTTGCAACCTCGCGGGGGCCCCCCGGGGGCTGGCTGGCTGGCCGGGCGCGCGCCCACGGCGAGCACGCGCGCGGCACTGACGCAGCACACCCCCCCCCCCCGCCCCCGCTCCGCTCCCGGCCCGCCCCCTCCACCACCACGCTCGCTCCAGACGTAAGGAAAATACAGTCTGCGGAGGGGGGAAGAGGACGGCCTACACCACGCCGGCGGCTCCCGATCGCGCCGGTCCGTCCCGCCCCTCCCCGCCCGCGCAGCTGGGACGGGAAAGCGTAGGAGAGGCGGGAGGAGGGCGGGGTTAAGAGAAGCCCCGCCCCTTTCCGCGCAGCGCCCAGCCGAGGGTCGGCTGAAGGGCGGGGCGAAGCACCGCTCCACCCACCCCACCCCACCCACCTCCTCTAGCCGCTTCTGATTGGCCGCCGCGGCGGGGCGGGGCGTCGAGCTGAGCACCGGTTGGCTGTGTGGCGGCGAGCTGCGTGCCGACGCAGAGAGGGAGGCCTGACAGCGCCGGGCTGGGTTCGGCCGTGGCGGCCTGGCTTTGTTTTTAGGCCAGGTCTCTGGGACCGGCCCGGGAAGATGGTGCTGGGGGGCTGCCCTGTGAGTTACCTATTGCTGTGCGGCCAGGCGGCCTTGCTGCTGGGGAACCTGCTGCTGCTGCACTGTGTCTCTCGGAGCCACTCGTTTAACGCCACGGCCGAAGTGGATCTCACACCCTCAGGCGCCGCTCACCCCGAGAGTCCCGCACCCCCGACGTGGGAATACAGCGATCCCCACTCTCCGGTCATCCTTTGCTCTTACCTGTAAGCTACGGGGTCGTGGGGGACAGTCCTAGCGGGGATCGGGCCCCGCTAGGTGGTGGGTGTGGGGAGGCCAGGGAAGGGAAGGCTGCTTCCTCCTGGGGGAGGTGATAGGTGCCTGCCTCTCAACTCCCCTGCCGCTGCGGAAAGCCTGGTATGTTAGTGGTAGATATGGGAAGGAGTGGCGTAGGCTGTAGAACCCATTCACTTCCTGCACCCTTTCTCCTGCCTTGGTTTCAGGATGAGTTCAAGGCCGGCCAGCCAGCAAGCCGGGGCAATTTGTCCCAAAATAAAGAAATTGAAAGGGCTGGAGATGTAGCTCAGTGGTAGATAGCATTCCTAGCGCGTACACTCCCCAATACAGCAGAGGGAAGGGTAGAGGGATTACGTGCGTTCACGTAGCAATTGGTAAAATTGGTTTTAATGATTTGCAGACCCGACGAGTTTGTAGATTGTGATGCCCCAGTGGATCACGTTGGAAATGCAACTGCGTCCCAGGAGCTTGGTTATGGTTGTCTCAAGGTGAGGTTTTTGTTTGTTGTACATTCGCTCTTCATGGGAAGCATGGCTGAGTGCTGTTACAGAGGAGCAAGGGGCATACAGAGAGTTTTGGTTTTGTTTTTTTGTTTTTTTTTTTTAGAACTCCATCCGTATAACTGTTGCTGGAAATGTCCAGCATGACCAAGGTTGTAGTGGCTGAAGAGTACATTTGCTTTCCCGGGGAACCACCAATGACTGTGCCCAAGTGCAAAGACCAACCTGTATTGGTGCCTTTGGCCGTTGAAATTAACAAATGGAAGCTAAAATGTCACCTGTCCTTTCAAAGCATGCCCTCTCTTAGAAGAACAACGAAAAAGGGCTGTGCACTTTGGAAAGCTGGTGCTGAACTGGGCTTTCTTGGTTACCCGTGCACTTGGAGCAAGGTCCTCGTGCTGGTGATGACAAGCAGGTTGCACCATGCCCTTAGGAAGTAGCTGGGGTCTGTTGGTAATGTTTTTGTTTGAGGATAAAGCATTCCAGAGAAGCCTTTAGTAGCAGCGGCCTCTCAGCCTGGAGAGAAGCCATTAGTATCCGTAAAGTGAGTGTACCCACTTAGTCTCTCAAAACCCATTGAATTTTGGTTTGGTTTGGTTTCAGTTTTGTTGTTGTTTTGGTTTGTCTGTTTTTGTTTTGTTTTTAAGAGAAGGTGTCGCTATATAGCCCAAGTGAGCCTTAGACTCATGAGCCCACTGATTGAGCCTCCTAGGGCTAGGATATAGATACACATCACTGTGCCCAGCTCACACTTAAGAAATTCATGTACCGCCTTTGCACTATGGACTCACCGTTGTGAAATAATGCAGGGTCCAACCTGGTGTTGAGTTATGAGAAAACATTGTTTTACCACTTCAGACACAAAGGAATAAACTTCATAACACCACAACCAAGGGGATGGCTCTTAATTGAATTACATGTCGAGAAATACTGTAAATACATTGAAATTTCGTTTTATTGGTAATTGGTGAAAGCTTGACTAACACTGCATAGGGATGGCTTAATTTTGATTATTTTAATTAAAAGCTGAACTTATCCTGTCACAAGATTGAAACGCTCCCTCAGTCAGCAGTCCTTAAGGACTGGTGGGACTCGAGAGGTGTGAGAAGTGAGCATTCTTGTTCTCCCGTCTCACTCTGAGGGGCACGAGGGTAAGGATAGGAAAGCAATAACAAGGTACAAGTGACACCGTGTGGCTCTGCTTTCTCTGTCGGAATTGAATTAAGCAAAGGGCAATACCCTGGTTCTGACCATTTTTGCTCGAACTTAAACTTACACTAGGGGTAGACCACAGAAACCTATAACCATGCGTGACCTAAGTGAAGTCCTCGGTCAGATGATAGTGTGAATCATTTTCTAATTTTGTTCATTTACGGTAAATCTACCACAAGTCTTGATGTGCATTGACATCTCAATTCCCATTCCAAAAATGCTACATTATGTGCCTGTAAATACAAGATAACCCAAGCATTGTGTACCTCTCTGCAGTTAAGTGTTTTGAAGAAGCCAGTCATGGAGGAGAAAGGTTTATTTAAAGCAGTGGACACTTAGAATGGACTAAGTCACCTAAAGTCATCCCTGCATTCCGTGCTTTTGAGAGCTGTCCCCAGTCTTGCTAGAATTGTTACAGTACTGCAGCAGCTTTTATCTGTGAATATGCATGTGTGTTTGTTACTTCCTCCACAGTTTGGGGGTCAGGCCTACAATGATGTGGAACACACTTCAGTCCAGTGCAGAGCCCTGGATGGAATTGAGTGTGCCAGCCCCCGGACCTTTCTACGAGAGAATAAGCCTTGTATAAAGTAAGTTTTACTTTCATTGTTGTACTGCGTGGGTGGTACTGGGATTTGAACCCAGTACCCCTGCTAAGCAAGTGTTCTGCTACTGAGCTACACCCGTAGCTCAAACTGTTACTTTGAAAGGGGGTAATGGGTACTTGGATGGAGGTACCAGCTGGTGTGACCTTTTCTTTGAAGTATTAAAGAATGCATGTGCTTCCTCCTGTGTGCGGCCTGCTGACTGAGGCAATGTGATTGCAACAGCTAGGAGCAGAAGTTGTGGGTTCTGAGTCTTTCAGTCTGCCCCTCAGCCTCAGCTTGCAGGCCCTGGGCCAAATGATGGAGCTTCAGAACTCCCAACCTGCAACCAGCCTGTGAAAACTGCCTTAGGACTTCTGGAACCAGGTTTTGCAACGAAATTTGGGGGTTCCTCAACTGAAATCACCTGATCCTAAAGAAATGCAGTGTAAATTCTCCCAACACATACAGAATCTACTTTAGACAGTTAGCACATGAAAGGAGCCTTGGTGATGGGTAGTGATGTACCTGCAGTCAGGTGTTCTCAATGAGGCATAAAGATTGGTCAGCGGATAAAAGGTATGTGAAGCTGAGGGCTGTTAAGGAAACAATGTTTCCTTTGGTGGAGCCTCAGGCCCCCAGATTCCTCTGCTACCACAGTCTGTGATGCAGTGGTCCAGTCTAACTCGGCGAAATCTGTTTGTTTTTTACTTTTGTGTGTGTGAGTGTAGGTTTGTGCCTTCCGAAGGCCAACAGAGCATCTGCTCCAGGTGGTTGTGAGTCACCCTGGTGTCACTGATGAGAACAAAACCTGGCTCCTCTTTGAGCTCTTAACCACTGAGCCATCTCTCCAGGCCCCTTTTTGTTCTTAAAGTCACTTCCAATCTTAGCAAGTACTTTTTTGAGACCCTAAAGCAACTAGAGATGGGGAGGTGCTTACAAGAGTCTATTAGACTATAGTTAACTTTTTTGTGTCTCTGGGGAGAGACTGCCCATTCCAAGACTAGAAAATTCACAGTGTTAGCAAAGGACCTAATCAGCCTGTCCTAAACATGCAAATTCATGTCCCGAGCCATCTAGCGGTAGTACACCCCAGGAGACACCTCCTTTGCCTTAACCACCCCAGGGTAATGTATCAGGCCACTGGGGCCCACCCCGAATGTAGCTTAAAGCTGCTGAGATTATTCAAGAAGCCAGTCCTAAACTGCTGATCTATCCTGCCTTGCCTTTCCTGCAAAACTCCCCGCAAAGGTTGCGACCTGGACCTACCCTTACCCCCATCTCCTGACCATCAAGTTGTCCTTCCAGCCCCCCCTCCTATCTAGGACCCATGAATGTAATAAGCTATCTGTTCGCCTTGTTTCTCGCCCCCCCCCCCCAGGCTCTTTGTATCCCCACCCCCACCACCTCGTAGCCACACCTGAACCCAAGCAGGCCCAGAGGCCTCGGCACCACAGCCAGTGGTTGCTGTACTCCGTTATGGCCCAGTCAGTTCTCATGAGGCACATCATCTCCTTCCCTCTACCCAGGTACACGGGACACTACTTCATAACCACGTTGCTCTACTCCTTCTTCCTGGGGTGTTTCGGCGTCGATCGCTTCTGTCTGGGACACACCGGCACAGCCGTCGGGAAGCTGCTGACGCTGGGGGGGCTTGGGATCTGGTGGTTTGTGGACCTCATTTTGCTCATCACTGGAGGGCTGATGCCTAGTGACGGCAGCAACTGGTGCACTGTCTACTAAAGACTGCCGCCGTCCCGTGCCAGCAAGGAAAACACGTGCCCGGCTGCCTGGCTAGTTACCACAAGCTCCAAATTCTCCTCTGGACATCACTGTCCTCTTTGAAGTTCGGGCTGAATTTTCAGCCCAGATCTTACCTTGCAGACCAGGAATGACAAGCAGTGTTGTGGGGAATCCAGTAGTCCCTTTCTTCATGTACAGAATATCAAAGACAGTGACTTCTACCCAGATCATTTTCAGTGCTCCGTGTTTGGAGCAGGGGGACCCAACAGGATAAACCAAATGCATGTTTATCCATGCACAGCCTTTTGCGACCCTGAATTTCCAAGCACAGGTCAGAAACTGTGCCAATGAGAAATCTCCAGGTGACATAGAAATGATCGCGGGTTTTAATATACACCAAAATTCTCTGACTCTGTGACTTGAAAGTGCACAATAAAGTTTTAAAACCTAGCTTGCTGTGTATTTTCAATAGAGAATGAAACTCAAAAATTGTTTTTGCCGAAGGGTGAGCGTTTAAAATGAAAGTTATGGTTTGAGTATGCGGTGTCCTCCTTAAGGTTGTCTGGCGCTTGGTAATAACAAGTCTAATACTACTGCCCTGTTAAGCCTAACTGTGGACTGTTGGAATGTTCTAGAGACAGAAATTTCTTCATTCCAATTGTGTTTTGAAATCCGACACTGGTTAGCATGTATGAGTTAACAGAGTTGTCCTACCTAAAATTAGTATTTTCTAATTTTAATCAGCCTCTAAAATACAGGCCCCATATATTAGAGACTGATTTAAAAAGACTGTATAGGGTGGAGTATCCTTTACTTTCAGCACTCAGGAGGCGGAGGCGGGCAGATCTCTGTGAGTTCGAGGACAGCCTGGGCTACAGAGTGACATCATGTCTTCAAAAAGAAAAACGGTTTTATACAAGTAACTATAACACTTTCCTGCATAATTAGGTGAGAAAAAATGAGGAACCCCATGCTCTTAGGGGAAAAAATGTATGCCTACTTAGAAGACATCCTGACTGCGAGGGTCAAATTGGGATGTCTTAGGAGAGGAGGAGGAAACCCATTCTGTCCACACAAGCGTGACAGTAAAGGTTTTCCCAGTGTGCCTCAGTGTTAGAGCCAGTAGGGGTCTACATTCCCAGGTCACTGGGAAGAAAAGGAAAGGTTCTGAATGATAGTGCCTTCCAAATCTTAGTCGGAAAGAACTGGTAAATATAACATGACTGTCAGGCTCACTCTTCAACCAGCCATGGATTCTAGAAACAGTAGAACTACTCGACGTTCATTCCCATACATGAAAACTGACGCAAAGGCCTATGAAGTTCAGGTAAAATAGTCCTGGAAACAGAGCATCATTTTGTAGAACTCTCCTTAAAAGTTCCTGCCCCAGCATCCTTGATGATATCACTGTTCTCACATTACTAAAGATGGCAACTGTGAAAGCTTTTAAAAACTACACTAACCTTAACCCTGCTTACAACAATAACAATTGGAAGAGTCAATTCATAATTTCTACACACTAAGGCTATATTTTTAGATTAATTGCGAAGAAATTAGACCTCCTTAAAAATAGACAAATCAAGCTTCACATGGACTTTAAGGAGATCCAGGTGTGCCGTATTTTTAAAAAATTCTGGAAGGCTCAATGATGAGCGAGCCCTTATCTAATGTGTACTGGTCCCAAGGTTTGGTCCCCAGCACCCTCCCAAGTCTAGGAAACAGTAACTAAAAATCTTACCTAAACTAAACTAAGCCATGGGTCAGCTCACTATGTAAAATCTCTGAGTGTTTATAAGCTCCATTAAAAGAAAGAAGCTGCGTAAAAAGGAAGTCTATAAATGGTTCAAAAACTGTTTTAATGGAAGAGGCTGTTCTCTGAGACACTGGAGGACCAAAATTGTTTCTACTGCTAAAATGATCATTTTGAGAATAATATTCCTGTGTTATAATCCAGTGTCATCAGTTTCAATCTGTCTTGTGATTGGTGACTTTTCTACCCACAATCCCTGGCCAGAAATGTGGAACAACCTGGGAAACTGTACAAAGATTATTTAAAACGTGATTGCCTTTTGACTCCAGGTTCAGACTCTTAATATTTGGAAGGTAGATTATGTGTACACATATGTGACATAGAAGTTCGTGGCTATATAGGAGGTTACTAAAGTATCCTGCCAAGATTCAGTTAGGAATTGCCTGTTTTCCTATTTTCTGTCTTTAAATTTTATCAGACCACCATGACTGCTTCCACTTGGCTTAGAAAGGTTTTGGTTTTTGATTGATTGGTTTGTTTCTTTGGTTTTTTTTTGCAGCAGAAGAATACCCTCAACCTCAAGATTCGTGAGTGAGTGAGTGAGTGAGTGAGTGTGTGTGTGTGTGTGTGTGTGTAAACATGTGTGCATACATTCAAAGCATCCATTTTTCTTGGTATCCTAAAGCCCCTGCCATCTTTGGCACGTCTTCGATACAAACCAGGTATATAACTGGTTTTGCGAGCCAGTTTTTCAAAGTAAGATACTTAATTGATTATTTCAGGTGCCACCGTCAGAAACAAAGTTTGACTTCCTCGACGCACAACAATGGAGAGAAAGTCATTGTCCTTAACAGCTTCAATGACATCAGTTGTGGTGGTGACAGGTTGCCCATTTATGCTGACAATTACATCATGGTCTCTCAACCCCGAGCTGAGAAAGAAAAAGAAATGATGATGAAGCCGGGCAGTGGTGGTACATGCCTTTAATCCCAGCACTCGGGAGGCAGAGGCAGGCAGATCTCTGAGTTCCAGGTCAGCCTGGTCTACAGAGCGAGTTCCAGGACAGCCAGGGCTACACAGAGAAACCCTGTCTTGAAAAACAAAAATAGCGATTAATGAAAGCATTAGAAGAGTTCTACTCATTCCCATTTGGGGTGTGTTGTTTGTCTGTCTGGTTCCTCCCTAACCCTCCCGCATACATGTACACACACACACACACACACACACACACACACACACACACACACACAGAGTCACACACTGCCCTGCTGTTTTGCTGACCATTAGACATATGAACCAAGAAGGTAGGACTATCCCTCCAACTGTGAGGGCTATTGGAATGTGTTGTGAAGCCAGCTGGAGGAGGGTCCTCTGTGTTTCCAATAATATCAATACCCTGTGAGAAATCTGGGAGAAGCTGAGTCCTTACATGCACTGGATTTCATTTGGAATGGACAGTTTAGCTTCTGATTTCTCTTCCTCTCTGTCCTGTGTTAACTTCAGACATTACTAAATTCACTGGCAAGAGTGCCAAGCCCAGACAGTGTTTTTCCCCCAGGAAGTTGTACTCTGATGAGTCTGACTGAACAGCCCATCCCATGGTTTCTGGAACTGGATCATGATGTGCTGCTGTGTGTTCCAGATGTTCTGCTTCCAGTAAATCAAAAGCCACTCAAGCTTCCAAGTCCAGATGTTTACAGCTCTGACTCAAGGCTATAGTTCTGTTCAATCAACACATTGACCTCATGCAGAATATATATTCTAGATACAAACTCCAGTTCCAAAAGCAAAGTGCAAAAAACATGGACAGCCTGGTTGGTTATGTAAAGGTAAGAATGGGCTAAAAAGGGGACCTCAAATTCAATGACTCCAGAAGATACTATTTAAGGAAAATGCAAAGCTCAAGAAAAAAATGACGTGAGCAGATTACCAAGATATGTGCAGTTTGAAAAATATGAGGAGCTTGGGGTATAGCTAAGTGGTGTAGGGTATGTTTAGCATGCACTTGGTCCTTAGTTCATTGGCCAGCATCAGGGGATGGGGGGGGGGGGGGGGGCGTAAAGGTAACACAGTGGGGCATGAAGAGAAGGAAGGGTAAAGCCACATGCAAGAAATCCTTAGGAACAAGGACAGTTGAAGAAAAGTGACTCGGCAGTCGTGAGCAGGGCAACGGAGCAAAAAAGCGCCAATGCTGTGGCACGGGATCTGCTGTGTAGTTGGCTCACGCAGGGTAAGTGGCCTTTCCCCATGCCTCAGAACTTCCAAGAGACGAAAGCGGGATTTGATCCTGTGCCTTTCGGACTTGAAAACCCATCTTCTTGCCACTAGGTCAACTCTGCCTCATGGAAAGGAGAGTAACTACAAAGTGGGGATTGTCAAGGAATTAAGCCAGGGTGCACACCTCCTCTCTGACCTCTGTGGAACTCAACACAGCTGCTTCCCCTTAAAAACAAGGACTCTGTCATAAGACTCCTCAAACAACTTGTGTAAAAAAAAAACAAAACAAAAAAAAAAAAACACTTTGGTTCCTCAGAATAAATGTTTCCTAAGTGCCAGCTGCTGTTTGTAATTATTAGCAGTTATTAAATATAAGCAGATGAAAGCCAGCAAGGATGGCTGTCGGGCTGCCAGAGACTTACAGCACTAATCCTCACGTCGACGTGCATGTGACTACCCATCTGAGAACCTTGTTAAAGATGAAGACCCTCCTGGGGATGTAATCTAATGGTAGAACAGGTGTTCAGCGCACACAAGGCCCTGGCTGTGAACTCCAGAAAGCAAGAAACAGCAGGAGTTAAGGGGAGTTGAGGAGAGGGTAGAAGGAAGTGGAAAGAAAGGAGGAAGTGGACACAGCTAACCCCAGCACTTGGGAAGTCAGAAGAATCCAGAGTTCAAGACCAGCACGGGACGGGGTAGGGTGGGGTCCGATTCAGGGCTGGAGCTCGGACCCTGCCTCTCTGTCTGGCTACTGATGCCGCCACTGAGGGCACACCACACTCTGAGAACCACTTACAGAGCTGAGTGTAGCTCCCTGGCCTTGGATCAGAAGGTAAAATAAGGAGTTGGGGGAGGGGCACGGCACGGCAGGGACCCGGAGAGTCTAGAAGAGCTTAGAACATGCCAAATCTAGCAGCGGGAGACCTGACACTTAGCTAAACTGCTGGTGCCTATGAGTTCTTCCGGGTCTAACAGAGTTGCCAGCGTCTAAGCAGATGGCTGAGCCCTTGAAAAACAAACAGGGAGCGCGGTAAGAAAGGGCAGAGCCCAGGAGAGCAACATTTGCCAAAGAAGCTGCCTCTCCCTGCTAGTAAATAGTCTACGGCAAAGCTGGAGACAGCAGCTGAACCTTCCTTCCGCGGCTGTTTGATCTAGGAGTACAGGCGTCGGTGACGGCAGTTTGCACGGCCATGCAGACCTCAGAGAAGGGGCTTCAGAAGACCCACAGCGCACCAAGACAGAGAGCACCCTCCGGTCTTTTTTCTTTCTTTTCCACCCCTCACTCCCACTGTCAGGAGTCCCACAAGAACACCCAGCTACACAACCATAACTTACCTGCAGAGGACCCAGCTCAGACCCTTGCAGGGTCCGTGATTGTCCTTTCAGTCTCTGTGAGCCCCTATGAGCCTCGCTTAGTTGATTAATCCTTCCCATTCTCATTAACTAGTAATTACTGAACTGTTCCCATCATTTATCGTTAGTT